ACTGAAATGGAAGATAAGCTTAGAATTTATGAATTAGAGTCCTTGGTATATAAATTTCTCATTCCATGATTCTTTTGGGATAGTAATTTGAAAGAAAGAAAATGCTGTAACGTTACATTTTTTGACAAATTCCACGTATTTTAATACTGTCTATAAGGGTAATGTAATGCCTTTAATCATGTTTAAAACACATAAATCCATCTGGTAGATTTATTTCAAGGGTCTGATATGCTGTTTCCTCAAGGACGGTGAAGTTTCAACTTCTCTTCTCCACTTATCTTTAAGAAATGATTTTCACCTTTAATCATGAACTAATTTGACGCACATAGTCGTGGCTGCTCTTTAAGGAGACAAGCATCTTAGGTTGCCTACCCGTTGAAGGCAAATCTTGAATAAGGCAAAGGAAAATAATCCAACAAATGAATATTGTCAACAGTTAATCAAATCCAATTCCCATCTTCTTCTGTTGCTTAAGAGTTTTGCCCTAGTCTTCGCCTGTTCTTCTCCATGGATGCTGATGTGGTGGTTTCTCTTCTCTCACAGAAACTGCAAAATCTTCTCCATGATGAAGCGATAGCCATGACCCCAAAGGTGAAAGACCTAGTTCAGAGAACCACCCACCGGCTCAACTTGTTCAGGCAGTTGCTGAAAGAAGCAGATCAGAAGAATCGGGCATTAGCTGTTGAAATGAACAGCGGTAAGTGGACAACTCGTCTCTTGCGAGCTCTCTACTCTATGGATGATGCTATTGACAACTTTATCGTCAGGAAAGCACTGCAGAGTCGGAAGCCTTTCACTTCTTTCTGTAACCGAGTTGTCTTCAACAAAGAGATGAAACAATTCATTTCCAAGACTGGAGACTTAATCCAAGATAAGCAAGCATTGGATGTTCAAGATGTTACTGATAACAATATCCCAGGACCGAGCCAACACCAACGTTGGGCAAGAATATCTGGTTTTTGTTTCGACGGTGAAAGTCGCGTGGTTGGCCTTGAGGAACAAGTAAAGAATTTGGTTGCTCTTGTAGTCCAGGGGGCAGAGCAAGGGAACCAACCAGCAGTTGTTTCGATGGTTGGCGAGGGAGGATCAGGCAAAACAGCCATAGCAAGAATCGTATACAACAGAGTGGACATTAAGCGGCATTTCACTAGCCGTGCATGGGTTCATGTTACAAAAGAGTTCAAAGTGAGAGATGTATTGGTGGACATGATTACCCAGCTTGATGAAAAGATTGCGAAGGAGCCATTACTGGAGGACGAACTAAAATGGAGGCTCCCTAAACTTCTAGGACAAGGAAGATATCTAATTGTTGTTGACGATGTCGATGCTCCTGAATTTTGGGAAGCAATCAAGGAGGTCTTTCCACCCTCTTCCCATGGTGGTGTGGTGATTGTAACCACCCGAAAGGCGGGCCTGGCTGTGCCAGCTGGTTCAACTCTGCAGGTACGTTCATTGAATGATGAAGAAAGCTGGGCATTGTTTTTAAAGAAGCTAGACATAACTGAAGAGAGATTACATAATTCTCAGTTAATGAAATTCAAGGGGCAAATCTTGAAATTATGTGGTGGCTTACCTCTGGCAATTGTCTTAATGTGTGGTTTGTTGTCTGCTAAAGAATTAACTGATAGCGAATGGTCAAGAGTGATCGAGCATGTGAATGCTATAGAAGGTATCTTGGCCTTAAGCTATCATGAATTGCCTTCTTACTTGAAGCCCTGCTTTCTTTACATGGGACTCTTTCCTAAAGCGATTGAGATCCCCATAAGGAGGTTGATTCATCTGTGGGTAGCTGAGGGTTTTGTCGCATCCTTTTCTGACGGTGATATGGTTGAGGAGGATCTGGCAGAAATGTATCTTGAGGAACTAGTTTGTAGAAAAATTATTGAAGTGGTAAGATGGAGGTTAGATGGGAGCCCCAAAACATGTCGTTTGCCAAGCCTTGTCCATGATGTCTTCTCCTTAAAAGCAAGGGATATTGGATTTCTTCAGATCCACAGTACGTCAATTTCAGCTAACACATCACAATTACCAGTCCGGAGACTTGCAACATATTCAAACGTCCCTTTTTCAAAGCTCCACCTAAGCCATTTGCGTTCTTATGTATCTTTTAACACTTTAAAAGGAGGTATTCCTGCTGGAAATTCAAGCATGTTTCTAGACAAGATTATGAGTAAGGAAAACCTTGGAGTGTTTAGGGTGCTTGATCTTGAGAGTGTCTATAAACCTCAGCTTCCCAAGGCAGTGGGCACTCTCTTGAACTTAAGGTACCTAGGCTTAAGATCCACTGTTATTAATTCACTTCCAGTCTCTATTGGCGTTTTGCAATGCCTGGAGACTTTGGATGTGAAGCACACCAACATAACCAGTTTGCCTGATTCTTTTTGGAAGATTAGGAGCCTGCGCCATCTCTATCTGAATGGAATTTGTCTCGATTCTTTGGACTTGCTCTCTGCGGAGACCTTGAGTAAGCTTCAAAGCTTATGTGGGTTGTCTATTAGCACCGAATCTTTAGTTGCAGAGACCTTGAGCAAGTGTAAATGCCTCAGAAAGTTGCAGTTGACATTCTATATCCCATCAAGTATAAAAATTGATTGGACATCTCAACTGAACAAACTTCACTCTCTAAGGATAAGATCAATAAGAGAGTCTGGTGAGAGTGCATCCATCAAGTTCACGAGCTTCAAGGAGCAGCACAACCTGGTCAACTTGTCTTTGTTTGGATCGTTGATAAGACCATTCAAATCTACAATATTTCCTCCAAACCTGAAAAGCCTCACTTTATCAAAGACAGGACTGGCCAAAGACCCAATGCTAGAGCTAGGAAAACTGCCTGAGTTAAATATACTTAGGCTTTTCAATTTTTCCTACATTGGGGAAGAAATGACTTGCGTCTCTGGAGCATTTCCTCAACTCCATGTCTTGAAACTGTGGCAACTGGACCATTTTAGTAAGTGGCTTGTGAAAGAAGGAGCCTTGCCCAGTCTCAGAGAATTAGAAATTAGGGACTGTAGAAGCCTCAAAACGCTGGATGCATTATCCCTGCTGACCAGCTTGAGTGAATTGATACTTACTAATATGCCATCAGATTTTGCAGACTATGTTAGAGGTATCAATAGCACCAGCAGCGCTGTATTTATCAAAGAAAATCACTGGGAACCTTCTCCTCCGATGGTGAGTCTCCCTTGCCTTTGCTCATCTTACACATAAAAATGGACTAGTTTTATCCTAGATAAAAAGGAAAATACACTTAGATGTTGCACCATCTTTGCGTATCTTAGCTAGACTAATATTTGTTATTTTACTCAATTGTAGGAATGAGCTCCTGGAGGCAAGAGTCTGGACAGAGTATATGCCCCTCCGCGAGAAAGACCATCACTATAGGGATATCATATTCTGCACCGATTTCACATATTTTCTGAAATGTTACTATTTAAAAGTTGTGTAGCAAATCTACTTGCGCTATTTCATTGAGATTGGATTTCTGAAGCAACACAACAAAGGCCTCAATATCCTCATGCTTCATTGACTTGTATTTCTGCTATGTTAAAACTTTGCAGCAATTACTGGAATAATTTTTTTTTTTGTTTATCAAAGTGAATATATACAGGTCAAATTCCTAGAATAGTTGAATGACTAGCTTCTTAAATCAAACTTACAAGGTAGCTTAGCAATAGTCCTTGGAAGTCCAATTTTCATGAAGAATCCTAACTAGCTTTTTTCTCTAGAAGGAAGAGAAAAGACCAGAACGGAGGTGGGACAGGGAGCAGTTGGTAAAGTCATAAGTTCCTATCCTTTTCTCTGATGCTAATCAATTTTGATTCGATAGAGTGACAAAGGCACTCAAGAAGCTAGTTGAACTTGAAACTTGGGCAAGGTATCACAGGCTATGTTATGCCATGCCGTAAAAATAAGAACTTTCAGTTGGAGCCAGAAGAAGCGCATCCTCACCACATCAAACAATAACATGTAAACAGCTATATCTACTATGGTTTAATTCAATCCCGTTTATGTTTATAGATGAAGAGGCAATTCATTGTAAAAAAAAAAAGAGAAAGAAATTTATATAAAAAAAGAAGGATATATAGCTCTTGAATGTGAGCCATGGAAGGTGAGCCGTGGAAGGTTCACTTTTATTTCATTGTTTTCAGGGTATGAGGTGTCGGACTTTTCCTTTTCCAGTTAATGGGGAAAAGAATATATATTATATAAATTTATCAAACATGAAGTCAAAGTCAAGCAAGTGTAATCATTGTTTACATAATTTCCAAGTGCACCCTTACAGATGGATCCGCAGTAATCTTTTTTTTCCTACTCTTTCTCTTCCTCTGGAGATTTAGCTTAGAGTTCCCGGTGCCACTTTGAGGAGGGGCTTGAGCATTGATGATTAGACCAGAAAGCAGTGTCATCAATGACTCCCACAGGTACCTAATCTTCTCTTCATATTGCCTTCTCATGGCGCTTCCGACTTGAGCCAACTTTTTGAGTGCATCCTTAGCCATCATCAAGAAACAAACTTCTTCTATTCTTGGTTGCTTTTTTGTTTCTATGTGTTGGTTTGTTGAACTTGTCATAATGGTTTCTATTCTTAGTTCTTCGACTGCTTGGAGCAATTCTTTGTTTCTGTTATTTTAGGTCAAGGATTTGCTAATTGATGAACAAAATACAGAACTTAATGGGCAATAGTATCACTGTATCACTGTATCACTGATAGGGGAGCATTTCATACCAATTTAATTATCTGTTTCAACCTTTATATGAGACTTAGAAATCCTTCTTTCAATAGATACCTCAGTCTACCCACTCACCCAAGCCTCAGTCATCTTCCCTTCTGATAAGATGTTACATTTTTTGGTCAATCTATTGTTTATAAATTAGTTGTTAGCAGATTGACTTGTAAAGAATAAGAGGAAAATAATGGAGGCACTCGTTCAAACTTTAAAAGAACTCTGGAAGGACTGGCAGCTACGAGGGCTGGTTCTATTTAGCCTCTTCTTTCAGACAATACTCATTGTCATCGGCAATCGCAGAAAGTATAGTTACCAGCTTTTGGTCAGATTTACTGTATGGGTGGCTTACTTAGCTGCGGACACTGTGGCAACAATGGCCCTTGGGATTATCTCAAACGACCTGGGAGATACTAGTGACAATGGTGAACAGGATGCCAACATTGAACTACATGTATTTTGGGCACCATTTCTGTTGTTACATTTGGGTGGCCCTGACACCATCACTGCGTACTCCTCAGAAGACAATGAGTTGTGGTTGAGGCACCTGCTTGGGTTGGCTCTGCAAACAGGAGTCGCATTCAACACCTTCCTCATGGCATGGAGGGGCTCTCACCTTTCAATTCTGTCCACTTTAATGGTCTTTGTAGGCCTCAGCAAGTATGTAGAAAGGACCTGGGTCCTCCGTTCCGCAAGCAGCGAACAGATTAAAGGTTCCATGCTTGCTCGTCGTGATCTTCCTGACCCCACTAACCCAAATTTGCTCAAAGAGTACAATGTGAAAAAAGAAGAGGGATATATATGTAATACAAACAGAGTAATTGATATTCAGCTGCCTATGGAGGCCTTTGCCATTGAAGACAATTCCATCTCCAAAACCAATGAATTGCTTAAAGCTTACGGACTACTTCAGATATTCAAGTGTATTTTTGTGAATCTCCTACTTAGCTCTCGGGATCGAGACACCAGCCTAGCCGTGTTTCAGAATCTGTCCTTCGAAAAGGCTTTTGAAGTAGTTGAAATGGAGCTTGCATTCATGTTTGATTTGCTCTACACAAAAGCGTCAGTGGTCTATTCTCGATGGGGCCTTAGCTTGCGTTGCATCAATTTATCACTTACCTGCATTGTATTAGTCCTTTTCTCTTTGGCTGATGATAAGCACAAGTATAAAAAGGCTGACCTTGTCATAACCTTCCTATTGCTGGTAGTAGCTATTGTGCTTGACGTATATGGAGCACTGGTCATTCTTTTCTCAGATTGGACTGTTGTGTGGTTGAGCTTGCGTAAAAAGACATCTGTCTTGAGAGCCATTACTTCTATCCGATTATTTAGCAATCCTAGGTGGTCAAATTCCATGGCTCAATACAATCTACTAAGCTTTGCGCTTAGAGAAAAACCAATGGTTTATGATCCAATCCTAAGTCAAGTAAAACCCCACATTTTCCATAGAATTCTGAAACTCTTTAAGTTCTTAGGCTTTGTGGAAAAGCAAGAAAAGGAGAGATATGTAACTAAGGAGGTGATATCCAACAGCTTAAAGGAGTGGATATTCAAGTATCTCAAGGAGAGACTTAAAGTTAAAGCAACAGTCTATGATACGCAGGAGGTAGGCAGACCAAAATTTGCGGTAGAAATTTATGGTCACGGTGAGCTCAAATGGAGTGTGGAGAAAGGATTTGATGAGAGAATTCTGACATGGCACATTGCTACAGACATCTGCTACTACTTGGAGGAAACTATAGAGACCACCCAATCCAAGCGTGAAATCAGCATTCTCATGTCAAGGTATATGCTGCATTTGCTTGTTAACTATCCTTCCATGTTACCAGCTGGGCTTGGTGATATTCTAATTGAAGACACTTGCGCCGAAGTCATTGATTTTTGCAATACACCAGAGCCGCCAAAACACAAACCCGATGCATATGATAGGTTGGTTAAAGCTACTATGGGAACAGAATTGCTTGGAAGGAGGTATAGAGCAAGGAAATCTCTGTTATCTGATGGAAGTAGGCTTGCTAGAAGTTTGAATGAGATATCAAATAAGGAAGAGGTAACAAAACTAATCCCTTCTTAGTCTTCTTCACTCTCTACTCTCCCCCTCCTGGAGCTCGAGATCTCATTCGTGAATTTATTACTACTATGTTAATGGCAGAAATGGAGCTTAATTGCTAATACTTGGGTGGAAATGCTTGCTCATGCTGCAAGTCATTGCGAAGGAAGTCAGCACAGGCAACATCTGAGGCGAGGAGGACAGCTTCTAACCCATGTGTGGCTTCTGATGGCACACTTGGGCTTAACTGATCACTTCCAAATACTACAACCCCGTGACATCACCAGGCTGACTGCCAAATAGCCTACCAAGTGATTCTATATGATGGTATAGAGTAGTTAGCATTAAGGTTGCAGCTTGCTTCTTGTTGTAATAAGTGTTTGAAGCCTTTTTTTCCTTTCTTCTTCTCATTGGGGTGGCGCCTCATATCTCAAAGAATGAATTAAATTTTGTCATAAACAAATAATCTGTTCCTCTTATGTCTTCTTCTTGACCAGAGAATTCCCATTCTGAATTGTCATTTTGCTTTCCCTTTTTTAAGATATGGGCAGTGCCATATTGAATCCGTATGCTGAATTCATCTACTCTGTCAAACCTTGATAATGTCTAAAGGTAGAAATCACCAGCAGATTTGTGCCCATAGTTGAACAACAACTTCTTAGCTGTTTTCTAGAAGAATGATATTCAAGGCTTCTGTTAGAACAAGGTTTTGGAACTGTAGTAGTACTAGACAGGGTGGCCACCTGATTAGAGTTTGAGCTTTTTGTCCACTGGAATTTGGCTTAACAGTTAATTTTCTCCCACAATAAACAGAATTAATTACAAAAAATAGAGCAAAAAACCCTATAAAATCCAAGCATATTTCGCCATTTAAAGCACATTTTCAGTTAAAGAAAATAATGGAATGGCATAAGTGTAGTTTTTTATAAGTTCCAAGGTCATATATGCCCGCAAGTGGGCACACTCTCATATGATAAACTGGGCTGTGGAGAATCCAACGTTTATCCAAAGCAATGGCAGTGATAATCCATTGCTCTTGCTTCCTTACCCGCCCATGCTCCGTTCCATCTCCATCCTACGCCAAACCCCAGTTTCCCGGTCAGTGCTCCCTTCCGCTTCCCATTTGTATTTTTTCTTTTAACTTTTTCTGCAATTTAAGCTTTGGGTTCCTTTTAGTTTAGCAATATGTCATTTTCCTGTATTTTCTCAAAAAAAAAAAAAGAATTTTTATTGAAAATTGGAGATAAATGTGAGTCTTGAAATTTAACTTTAAGGTCCCCTGAAATGGGTATTTCAATGGATGGAATATGTATGAAATGAAAAAAAGGAAATGGTTTACTAATAGAATTGAATTGATGGTGGAGTAAACTATTATGTATACTAATTTTGGGGTTAAATTTGATGACTGAAAACAGGAAAGGTAGCATCTTTTATGTGTAAAGTAGAAAATTTTAGACCATCCTTTAAAGATGTTAATGGACCTGTTGAGCTTCATCCTTTGTTGCGAGAAAGGGGTAAACAGTCCTTACTCCGTTGCCAGAAGGCAGAGGGATACCGGGTCTTGGATTGCATTTCATCAGATTATGATGAATTTTTGCAACAGTTATCTGCTCTTGAGGTATGATGGTGAGTCCTCTGGACAGCTTTTAAGCTATTATTATTATTATTTCTACTCATGGTTACTAAGACTAAGCTAGTTAGCTTCTTATTTTAAGTTTATTTTGATATTATTGTGAGCCTCATCTTCATGTCCACATTTGAGAATTATCTATAATTTGGACATGATAAGATTTATAGAATGCTTATATTTCTATGTTTGAAATCCAAGAACGATGCATATGCCTTAAATTACTTGGATTTGTTTGAATTTTGGCAATTTATGGTGTATCTAGCCACTCTTTGAAAATGAAAATAATTTTTTTCCATTTTTTATTTTTCATCAACTGTTCTAATTGATTGAAAGTGCTGTTGGGGCAGGGAGGCTTACGGTCAAGAGTACCAGTGACAGCATTTCTTGCTGCCAACATTTTGATATTTACTGCTCCTTTGAAAGCCCTGGCAGAAACATGTGAGGCTGATAACTCCTTTTTCAACATGCCTTTACTGCTATTTGTAGCCCTTATTGGTGCCACAGTTGGAGGTATCTTTTGTACTCTTGGTCAATTTTAGTTCTGGTGCATAATACAACTCTGAGTGCTTTGCAAATGAACATACAATGACAAGTCAGCAATTGAATTCAGATTATCTTTGATGTGCTTGAAGAAATTGTTGGATCAAAAATATTCTGACACCGATTCATGTAGAAGAGATTCTAAATGGCTAACTCACACAGTTGAAAATATGTCTCAGTTCACAGAAGCATAGAAGTAGGATACCTGTTGTCAGTTTGGAATACCAATTTGTTTTGCCATCTAAAAGTACAAATTTCCCTTCTAAATCCTGGAATTCATTCTCAGCAGTCTAAATAACTAATGGAAATAAATGCCCCATGTCTTGTTCTAAATCATGTTGGATTTAGTTGTTCCCTCTCCTTTCTTTTATTATTCACCCTTTTGAAAATAATTGATGCAGATGTCCATTAAAATTTCATTGAAAAGCATGTTGCACAAATTATTATTTCCCTGATAATCTATATCTTGTACCTCAGGATTGCTTGCACGGCAGAGGAGAGGGGAATTGCAGCGACTAAATGAGCAGCTGCGCCAGATAAATGCTGCTCTAAGAAGGCAGGCTAAAATAGAGTCATATGCTCCCAGCCTGAGTTATGCTCCTGTTGGTAGAATATCGGAAGATGAAGTGATTGTTGATCCAAGAAAGGAAGAGTTAATTTCTCGATTGAAGACTGGGAAAATTTTTTTAAGAAATCAAGAACCTGAGAAGGCTTTTCCTGAGTTTAAGACAGCCCTGGAGCTTGCTCAAAGTCTAAAAGATCCTATTGAGGAGAAGAAGGCTGCGAGGGGTGTAGGTCTGCATCTCTTTGCTTACCCATCTTGTCTCCATCTATGATTTAGTAATATATGGTTATTATGGTTTAAGTCAAACCAAGTGACAAAAGATGAATAAGGCTTACGATACCCTATGGCATTGCCTTGAATCTGTCCATAAAGCTTAAAATGCTCAAAGAAGTGCTTCCATCGTGAACCATATAGTTTACAATGAAGAAATCCCAAGTCAGTTTATGAATTGAAGTAGCATTAACAAAGCATCAAGGGAGGAAATTGTAAAGCCTTTAAACTTGCTTGGACTATATGTGATTGTAATGTGGTTATGTTTGGAGAGCTGTGCAAGCTATTGACACCTAATATTTTCTTTTCTTATTGCCTGGATCTTAAACCTGGAGTCAAGTCTCCATAAAGGTTAACATAAAATTATAACAGTCCTTAACTTAAGGTTGCTTTATTCAGGTGCATCATTGCAAAGGCAAGGTAAATATCGAGAAGCCATTAAATACCACTCAATGGTTTTAGCAATCTCTGAGCGAGAAGGGGAGGACTCTGGAAACACAGAAGCTTATGGAGCAATTGCCGATTGCTACACCGAGCTTGGAGACCTTGAGAAAGCAGGGAAATTCTATGACAAATATATTGCTAGGTTGGAAACAGACTAATGAAGCTGCATATTCCATAGCTCTGCCTTTAATGTAATCTAAATAGTTGTAGAGATTGCAGACAGGTTGCGGATATAACCTTCCCTTTTTGGCCTTTGTCTCCTACTACAGTATTGCTTTTGTTAGTTGCAGAAACTGAAATTGTGAACTTAACCATTCCTCGGTTGGATCATGTGTTGTAACATTCCGTTTCCCTTTTCTTCCCATTCTGTATTCGCTCCTTTTCTCGCGACTTTAGTATCCACGACACTTGCAGACACTGAAATTGTTTAATGATAATTTGGTCGGACCATGCGTTGTGACTGATGTGCACTTCCCATCTGCAGAGGTGGAACGCTTCTTCCCCTTTATGCGATAAATAAATAATGCCATCAATACCATTCTGTATGCCAGTGGCCAGCGCCATGAAACCCAATAGATCAAAAATAATTTAATCTGAATTAAGCAACATAGCCTAACAAGGGGCCTTGTTTTCTAATCGCATTCTTCTCAACCGTTAACCGACAAAGAATCACGTATTCGGATTAGAAAAAGAAGGGGGGAGAAAATACCTTGGCCACAAGAATTTAGCATTGCCAAACTGTACTAGTCCTATACATCATGATTACCAACCATAAATATGGAAACAAATCTTCCATCAAATAATTAAGACCAAAAAGAAGAAAAATATCAAAGAGAAAGCTGCAAATATGCTTATATATCCCTTGGGGGCAGCAACCGTATGAAATATATAGGAGAAAATACATTAAAAAGCTTCCTAGCCGTTTAGAACTCAAATAAAATCCGAAATATGTAAAATATTGATACATTCGGCAAACATATGCTATAGATAAAAGCAGGTGCAACCTCACTGCTAAAAAGGGAAAATACATTAAAAAAGCCTCCTAAATGTTTTGTTTAGAACTCAAATAAAACCTGCAAATGCAGGGAATAAGGATATTACCACACAAACTCTATCTTTATTACTGATAGTACATTAGCTGCTGGGCAGCAGCAACATTCTGGAACCCACCATCATATATAGCCTGGCTTGCTCCAGCAGCACCCACTCCCATCGCTGCCTGCTTAAGAGGATGCTGTCCCTGAGGATGCATTAGGGCATGAACACCCATTTTGCTCATGGCAAGTTGTCGCTCATAAGCCAAAAGGTCTGTGGCTGAAAGGCCGGGTAAAGGTGCAGCTGCCGGTGGGGGAAGTGGAGTTGAACTTGTCCCTGGTGGTGTAGGCTTACTGCCCCAAGAGCACTACACAAACAAATAAAAGATGTCAATTTCTCATAATCCAACGAATTAAAATACGAATGGAGTTGGAACTACAACTAGAAGATCTTCACGTAACCAGATCCGAATCTAACAAACACCAACCATCCTAACAATCATCCCAACTCATGTATTGCATCATTTTAGGATATTTAAGGGTCAATGATTCAAGGTACATAATAACTGTGCAAAGAATTCACAAAATATCCTCCAAAACTTCACTAAGGCACATTATGTTACATATTTATTTCTCAAAAAGAGAATGAAGTCCCATTTTGACCAAAAGCAGAGGACAAACCTTAATTTGCTTGCCACAGAGAAACGACTGAGCGTTCCCCATCTGAATAGCCACAGCTGCCTCAGTATGAGTACTGTATCTCACAAAACCAAAGCCTTTATCACGCTGGATTCGTACCTCCTCAATCACCCCAGCACCAAGAGCATGGAAGTGGCGGTGGAGCTCAAGTTGGTTGACCTGCACGAATCAACATAATTGGTTTTATCGGAGAACCTAGCTTGTTCCTTTACTGAACAAAATAACTGCAGCTTTCAAAATCACAGGGCCAACCCTCACATGCCCTGAAAATTTTATTAGATGGGAATTCTCAGGGTTCAACTAGTAGACAGCTGGATCAAGCTCATACCATCATCAGTTGTCAAGCTTTAATTAATAGGTAAAAGCCCAATTGCTCTTTTTACTCTAGTGAATTTAACAAAAAAAAAATGGCTAAAGTTTTCTAAAGTTTTTTGCGTGTTCTACATGCATCCAGGAATAATAGATTTTCCTATAAGTACTAAAGAAATACCATTTCACTTGTCCTACTTAAAGTAAGCTCACAATGCTTTGTAACACCCATTTCAGTATTAACTTGCAAATGGAAAATAATAAACAGAAAAGCTATCGGAAATAGCTACTTGCCTCTGGAGCAAGATTGCCCACATAAACAGTAGTATATTGAGGATTATTCTCAGGAGCCTCACTATTGGTTGTCTCTTTACCGTCCTCTGCATACCAAGGTAATAGAAGTAAGTTTCTTTTGCCATTTGACACATATCTCAAGATCATTAAAAGTAGAATAAAAGTTGTATAATAATTGTCGAGGTTTGCATTGAACAAAGTAATAATTATCGCTAATGTTTGATTTTTGAAGGAAAGATAATGATTTTTGCTACAACAGATGCACCTGATGAGCCATTGGTTAGTTCCACCACACTTTTGGCATCAGAGCTCTGCTTGTCATCATTGGTACCAGCACCCTTTGTTGCCCAGTTACAACGAATCTGCCGGCTGCCAAGCCACTTTCCTAGAAAAATAAATCATTCAAACATTTGAGTTTTACTGCAATCTAGAATAACAGCAATTCATGCAAATTATAGAATTTACTAAATACAATTCATCCAGCACAGCCAAAATAATTTAATGAATCAAAACTCTACATATGGTGATTTGACAAAAAATCATGAGAAATAACAGCACAAAAAGAAAAGGAAAAACTTTCCCAGATAATTCAGCAGTCCTATCCAAATACAACAAACCCAAACCTATTAAGATTACTAGAAAGCATGATAGATATAAATAAAAAATTTCAAACTAAAAATCACAGCTTTATTTGATGTGCTAAAACTGCAACCAATGAAGATAATAAGTACATGTATAGAGTAAAATGCATCATTCTCACCACTTAAATCATTTATTGCACTTTGTGCATCCTGAACAGAAAAAAAAAATCAACATCAATAGATGAAACTACATTGTAATAGAACAGCAATACAAAGAGCCACCAGAAACTTAACCAAAAAACAGTACCTGCTGGTTGCGGAATGAAACAAACCCAAATCCTCTAGAACGCCCAGTTTTCTGATCCCACATAACCCTCGCATCCCTGATATCAGTAAAGACATCAGATTTGTTATGCATTTTGACACTATAGATCAAAAAAGTTAGCACCACAAAAACACTAATTGAGGTTTACTACAGATTTGCACATCCTGATAATCTAATCATATACTTTTAGTAAGTTACAACATCTGCATTTACTGAAATCAAGATCCAAAAGAGAAGAAGCTTACGAACAACTAGGATAGACAGAAAAGCATGCAAACAGCATTGCATCAGTAACCTCAGGACTGAGATCCCCAACAAAAATGTTAAAGTGACCTGTACCAATTATTATAGTATCAAACAGTATAATTGACAAATAACTGCCAAAAACACATCATAAACATTTTTGGGCAAAATTTTGTAAACAAAAACATGAGCAAACCCGATGTATCCTCTCTTTGACCACTAGCATATGCCCAATTGACCTTGATAGGCTGTCCAAATCTGTAGATTACATAATTTGATGTAAAACACATTCAAAACAAAAGTAACTTGAAAACATTGAAAATTAATACTTACAAATGCCTTCCATTAAGAGACAATATAGCAAGAGCAGCTGATCTGCGATCGAAGTAGTGGATGAATCCATATGATGACTGCTTAAGTAGAGTGAGAAACAAAAGACATGTCAATCATATGGCAATCAATTGGCTAGAGGAAAGTGTACATAACTAAATAAAGTAAGTTAACCATTTCCAATTAGAGCATCTCACAGTAAAAAGAAAAGGACAAAGTATTGAAAAGTATACCTTTTCCTTTCTGATAAGCTTGCAACCTTCAACAGGACCAGTACTTGCAAAAACCTCATTGAGTAGTGGTTCGGTCACTTGTGTATGGATGTTTCCCACATACCTGCAGTTTCTCAAAAATAAAGAAACTAGAAGTTTTAAAAAAAGAAACAAAAAAAAATAAATAAAAGGCTATAAGTAACTTTCTGAGTTGTTAGAAAGATGCAAGAAAATACAAGTATCTATCACATGCCCAAAACCATTTAACTATCAATTAAAGAAGCCATTAGCTTAAAATTTTGCACTAAGGGTCTAGCAACTTTTTTAGTCACCCGCTTTGCGAAGAAAAGTGTGTCTGATGTAAATAGGTCATAAGTATAAAAGTGACTAGGGTAGTCGCTTAAGCAAGCAGGGGAAATAACAGACACACAAAATACAAAAGAAACAGAACAGGAAAAAACATATGTAAACATGTCTAGGTAAACACTCACACACTGCGGCAAGTACTTGGATCAAAACCAGGAGGCAGATTTCCACTTGGGATTGGCTCTATCTGCAAAATAAAAAAGTGAAAAACAAAAAGAAAAATAAAAAAGAGGGGAAAAGAAGAAACGATGAGCAAAAAAAGTCCCTTCCCACTCGACCAAACTCTAAAGTGTTTATATCCTGGAAAGAAATTGAGTTTTAGAAGGTATCAAGAGCTCAACCCAGAAAAGGAAACAAGACACTAACTACAACCGTTAGAAATGAGAACATCACTTCTCCAACCTCTTTCAAAACACTTTCAACTTAAAAACAAAAGAGAGAATATATTTCAATATATTTTCTCGATTTTACAATGCTTTCTTTTTTCCCCTTAGGTTTTTCAGCGAAAACCAGACCAAAAAATTACACTTCATCTAAATAAGACTTACTTTCAGCAAAATTGTAGTCTAAAGGTCAGACTAAATTCAAGGATAACACAGCTCAAATTTCCTTTGAACTCCTCCCCCAAATTGAAAAACTAATATATGGCTTTCTACACAATTCAAACAAAAAGGCTTGCCAGAAATGTAATTTTGACAGAATACAAATGCATTGAAAGTACCATAAACTTTATACATTTACTTCATGATGTTATATTCCAGCACTATAAGCCTAAAGTGTTCCAAAATGAATTTCAGGAACTATGTTTTACGCTCCAACACTTGAAACAAGTGAGAGAAATTGCACATTTGTACCCAATATTGGCAAACAATAGATACATTTATAAAGTATATGAAATTCAGCAGTAAACTGAATAAAACCAAAGTAGTGAAAAAAAAACAAGTAAATGAGAAAGAAAACACCAAAAGCAAACCTTCTAGCTTGCGGTTGACAACTTCATATAAGATAAATAACAATAAAGGAACTTCATGCAATGAAAATGTAAAACATTAAGAAAGAAAACCATCTCTCATCAGATTTAAAACCCAAAACAATGAGCTTCACTTTCCACCAAAAGCATGTTAAGCAATTACAAACAAAGACACGGACTTTCTGATTCCGAAAAACCAAATGAAAAAACTCAACTTTCGGACCAATAAAGCAGAAGCAAAACTTAAAGATAAAAGCAATCACATTCAAAGCCCTGAAAAAACCCTTTTTTTTAGAAAAATTCCACGAATTCAAGCAGTGTATAAGGAAAAAGCTGCGATTTCGCAAGCCAAATCATCACCGCACAAAATTCCCAAACCAACCCTAGCTCTACCAATCCATCAGAATCAAGAAACGGAACAAGAGCTCGAAGATCAAAATACGATTTTGAAAGAATCCAACAAATCATTCCTAAAAACCGGATCAAAAACTCGTAGATGATCGACGAACAGAGAAATTGACTAAAAAGATAAAGAGAGACAAAAGAGTGGAAAACCTGAGGGGGAGCTAAGATGCCTGGGTGGTAGAGAGACTGTTGTTGGAGGAGAGCTTGTTGCATCAAGGCTTGTTGCTGTTGCTTCAGCCTCTGGTGCTGCATTTTTTTCTCGGCGATTTTCGAGGGAAAATTAATCGAGATGTTTGGTTTCTGAGAAAATTACCCCCCTTTTTTCTCTCTTTTTTCCTCTACTAGGGTTCTGAGTATGGGGGCCTCGAGAAAGTGAGAGAGAGAGAAAAAAAAATAAAAATGAGAGAGGAAAAAAGGCCTCTAAAGAAAGAGAGAGCAAAACGTGTGGCTCCAAACAAGTATTTATAGCTGGAAAAGATAAAATCACATCTAAATGCTACTTGGGTTTGTCAATAACAAATAAAAAAATGCCACGTGTAAACATATCTTAGAATATCATTTTTTTTGTTTCTTTTGGATTTAAGGAGAGAGGACTTGGCCACAGGATAATTTATTGCAGGTTATGTACAAGAAAATCCATATCCCAAAAAGGCGAAGTGGACAAGTTCAGAAAAGTACAAAGGCCTCGGCCCAATGGCCCAGCTATGGGCGTTTCTGAAATAAAACGGGCCAAATCCAAAATGTGTAGTTGGGCTAGCTACTGGAATGCCCAAAAAAAAAGTCCAAGAGCTAAATACAGTAAAATTACCTTAGGAGGTTTTTTATTTTGTATAATTTTGTATTTATGTTAGTCTCAAATCCATATTAACTCAATTATGATATGAGAAATTTTCAATTTTTATGCTACCTTCTTAAAGTATATAGATTTAAGTTATTTTTTTTTTTATAAAAGGGAAATAGATTAACTTCAAACAATTACATCTTCTTAGCCAAACAATACTGAACAAATTTTCAAATAAATGAGCGAGTTATCAAATACATGTAAGCCCGATAATAAATTATCATGACGTGTTGCTATTCAATCTGCACGCTGATTGACTTCAGGATGTACGCGAGTAACACAGCAATACCAGCTCCTTTGCAAAAGGTCCTTAATTCTTCTAAGTAGATGAGCATAAGGGTCCAAATCTAAAATCTTCCGTGCAATTTAAGTCAATTTTTAAATGCTAGTATTTGAAACATATTATAGACACCTCAACAGTGTTTTCCTCATATACATTCTCAATCCGTCATCTGCTCATGGTTTATTAATGGGTTATCTCATCTCTGGGTAAAATCATGAACGTAGACCTGTAGTTTTTAATAAGTTTTTGGGCCCGATACAAAGAAGAGATTCCAGCAATATTTGTGTTGGGTTCAAGCACAATGAAGTGTTCATTTAGCGCTCATTTGTTGCATTTGATTTGTAAATTTGCCTTTTTTTTTTCTTTCTAACTATTGTGTAATAAATTTTCTACCTGGGTTTCAGATGTTTTCGAGCCAAAGATTTAAAAATGTTGTTAGCACATCAGGATACGTTAATTTAGCTACATGAAAAGTTTCAGTCGTCATCTGTAAATAGCAACCTAATATCTCCAGGTATTGAGTGTCTGTTCACACTGTTGGGACCATGGCTGGAGTTTGGACGTTAGGTGCTATTCTTTCGTGTGGCAACGCTGAGGAAGACTGAAATTATGTGTTAACTTGCTGTGACAAGGTGTGAGGAAATTAGGCCGCGTGAAACATGACTCGCTTGACAGCTGAGAAGAGAGGAAGATCGGGACTTGCAATGAAAGTGCGTAAGGGCCAAGGAGTGTAGGTGAAAGGTGGAGTTGTACATCCTGGAACTGGTCTTATTGAGGTGCTGCTGATGGCGGTGGGATGTTTCCACGGCTCACTGAGTTTTTGAATGCAGAGTCGGTACTCGTGATGCTTGGGAAAGAAGGTTTGATCTCATTGACAACCGGCAGTCATGAGAGGTTACTAGATGGAGCTCCTGTGCTAACCCATCTTGGCTGCAGCAAATTTTTTACAGATTCTGCTCCCTGGTTTTTTCATATAGATGTGTTCTGTAAGCTGCTTTGTTTTTTCTTTTTGGCAGCAGCAATTGAAACTGGGGGCAGATGTTTTGTAATTAAAGTTGTTATTCGCCATTTTAGCTGCTTCAGATTGCCTCTTACCTCATCATGCCAATGGCATTGCTACCAGTGAGTGGTGGTTTTTATAACCAAGTGTTAATTAAAACCAAACCAGCTTTTCGAAAAAAAAAAAAAAAGAAGTCCACTGACATTTTAGCTTCACATGTTTACGGAGAATCTTTGGTGGACAAGAATATGAAAAACAAAGATTGTGTGACGGAATTAAGTCCAGACATCGGCATCACACATAAGTGGTGTAACTTTGGATTGGATAGTACGTGAATGTACAGGCAACAGTCGAAAGGGTATCTATCCAAAGGACATGCGAGTTTGACCTCATCACATGATCTTTGGTTTCTGGATTCTGGTTGGTATATCAAAATCCTTGGCTTTTATCATGGGTTGATGCCGGAAACGTAATTTAGGGCCATGGAAATTGCATATAGCAAGCACCAACCTCTCCCCCTGATATCCCAATTCAATTCGAATGAAAATCGTCTGCCTGCATTTTATGTCCCATTTTGTGCCCTTTTTATAATTTGATGCCACGTGTCCCATAGATTTTTGTTTATTAACATGAGCGTCGATGCCGTTAGTTGTTATTATTTTCACAGCGGTTAGATATTAACCTTAAATCTTATTTGACATAATGTTCGTCTTTGCTCTTCCTATCACGCCCGTCAACATTCTCATGCTCCTGCACCAACCAGCATCCATCAACATTCTTATACTCCTGTAGCAATCAGCATCCATATCTGAGGGGTACGCTTTTTTTTCCAATCATGCTTGCGAGAGTCAAAATCTTCAGATGAATAAGAACATTTATGTTTGCTCTCTCCTTCTAATGTATATAAAAATCTGTTTTTTTCTTGAAAAATTATAAAATTTATTAAGTAATCATAAAACCACGTTACTCTGATCAAAAAGTGATTAACTAAAGCATCGATTATGTTTAATTCAACGTACAAAAATCTTGTATCGATAATCCCTTTTAAGATTCAATTATATAATAAAAAATTCTGTTTTCAGTTCTTATTCAATCTTATAAATTAACTGATGAGTTAATTAACAACGTCTTTAAATGAATAAGAATGCTTATATCTTCTCTTTCTCTAATACTTATCGAAATTTAACTATCAAAAGAGCTTGTTTTAGAATAATTTCGCCTCTTTTTCTTCTTCTTCTTCTTCTTAGTTATTTTCTCCTTCTTTAATTTTTTATAACCATCATCAGAATATGCATGAAGAGCAAACAAAAAAAAAAAGCTTATGTGAAAATGTTCCTCCACTCTGATGAAAGATTTGATGATGGGAGAAGTGTGGAAAAGAGGAGGCTGTAAATTGTTGATGTTAACCTAGACTGAAGTTATACCTAACGGCAGTACAAATGACCTAACAGCTGACGTTAACAAATTAAAACTAATCGACGTGGCATCAAATTATAAGAGGGGCAATAAACGGGGCACAAAACAGGGGCAGACGATATGTGTTCATTATATTCGGGCCAGCGGATTGGTTGATTTATTATGGGCTAGTAGAATTTGGCACCCTTTGGGCATTCAATATCCATACCTTTTGTTTCCTGTGAATAGAACATATAGGAAACCTTTTGCCTTAATCCGTACGTTGCTGAGAGTCATATGCATTCATACTTCACTGCAAAATCTGCTGTTTATATTCAATTCTCTATTAGTTGGTATCCTTAATTTTAATTTCTTATGTCAACATCAAGCTTCAACTTTTGATAAAAGCTTTCGTAAATACTTGCTTTCAGCTTGTATTTTAGAATTAATGTAGTCTTACAACTCTTTAGCTGCCAACCCCTGGTCGGTTATTTACTGCATTCTTCCCCTCCTATACAGATGATTGTTTTTATGATTATTAGCTGGTGAATTGGTTATCACTTCCAAAAAAGGCAAGAAGCAAAGCTTTCAGAGGGAGGTTGAACAAATGATTTCTGCCTCTGCGGCTGGCGTTCCCTGAAAGTAATTCATGGGGTGGGGTGCGTATTTAACCATTTTAACGAACATGTTACTGGCTTGTTTGACTGTGCTATTATTTTTTTTAAGAAAAAATGGAACTGTTGATTATAATATAGTAAAGCTTTTATGTCCTATTGGAAACTCTAGCATTTCTTCATAAAAAAAAAGGCTAGTTATAGCATAGCTTTATACAGTACTTATTTCTTTCCATTATTTTAGCCATAAAGTCTATGTTGTCAAGCCATTTCTGAAGTTGAACAAGCTTTAGCGTGTAAAACGTTTGCCTTCACCTACCATCTATCATAAAAAACAAATGGGAAGGAAGGATACAGGTCAAGCCTATGAGGTTTAGGCCTGATGATAGGAGCTTCCTGTTAAAGTTTGCGCAAGCCGTCGTCTATTTTCTGCTTGCCTTGGGTCGTCTTTGGTTAGTTGCCTTACTGGGTAGTGTTGTGAGACTACTGGGAGGGAGGGATTGAGCTTTGAAGATCTATTCAAAAATTATTGGTTTTGTTATCTAGCATCAACAAGAACAAAGGGGATCAAACGAAACAGATTTTGTAGCGTAGTCCCTACCACACTCCCTTACCTCTAATGGCAGGTCAAAATCAATTTTTCTTGCTTCATACAGGAGGGGCTGATGGTCTAAGGTTAGCAATATTACCCACAGTCATAGTAAGTTAAAATTGTTACCAGAAATATGGGGGGAAAAATGGAACCTAACTCTGTTTTCTTGGCCTGTTCAATTCTGATTTGGATATTTCACTCATTCTGCAGTATTGCTTGGCTTGGGTCTTGCTCTTGCTCTTGCTGGAGTAATTTTTACCTGTGAAAATTCAGCACGATAGGAACCAAAACTTGATTCCCGCCCTCCTTTATACCTTTTTCTATTAAATCAGGAGAGGCACTATTGGTTTTCTGATATTAGAAGTTTGAGCACTCAACACCTTTTATGATTCATCAATTTTAAACCATTTAATGAACTTGCCATCTGCTGTCTGCCTGCTTCCCTACTTGCCAAGGATAACAAATTAACATGTTTCTATCCAGAAAAAGATAAGAGAACTGCTTTTGGGGTTTTAGCTCTCAACTGATCAAACTTACATGAAAAAAAATTCAGATCTGAATTTAATTGTAACAGATTAGTTACAAAAAATATATTGATAGAAGTATAAAATGCCTAAAAACAATAGTTAAGATCTTAAGCCTGTATCATTAAGGTATCCTAAGTTACAACACAATGAAGTGACCAATATTCCTATAACTTGAGGTCAAGATCTCTTGATGCTTCTTTTGATGATTGACCTGCCTCATGAGATGACTTGCTTTCATCAGGTTTAGGTGGAGGAGGAGATCCTCGTTGGGTGTTAACTTGGTATGGTGCTCTTGCGGCTGCCCTGAACATGAAGACAAGGATCAATTTAGTGACCATTCAATCAAGTACAAGACTAAATCTGAACTTAAGGTCTTTGATCTGGTGGTCCAAATGCCACCTTGAAAACCAGCATATATGCAGATCCTGAATTCATATATTTACATAGCCTATATCCGGTGCTTGATGCATCAAATGAAAAGTAAAATGGGTTATCTCTCGTTTTATCGTCAAGCAAAAAAGTAGCAACTTAAGGGACACCAGTTTTATTTCTTTTGTCACGAGATATGAGATCTCTAGTTTTTGAAGAATCCAATTAAGCTCCGCAGAATCATGATTTCCTAAGGGGAAACTAAACAGCTTTTGTGAAGCTTAGCATCCAAAAGTTTTCTAATGCTGGCTAAACCTTTTTACCTGTCTTTTCTCTTCTCAAAGAACTTGTGAAGTGAATTTCTTCTTGCAATACGCAAATCTGTAAAGCACAAAGAAAATGCAAACAAATTAGAATTTGTCATTAAAAAGCTTCAAAATTTTCAACAGCAACTTCCTTGATTTATGATTCAAGGTCACATATCAATTACCTGAACCACCATATTGGCGCCGCTCAACAGAAGGGTCTTGATCAGGACTATTTCCAGTCGTGGAGGCGATGTTCAGGTCAGGAATATCAGAATTGCTAGAGTTAATTTTGTCCATGTTAGAATTTACTTTTTCCATGCCAGAGTCAGTAACAACACCACCACATGCAGTTGAACATCCTTGGCTAGCTAAGGCCATGATCTCCTTGACCTTGTCTGCTGGAAAGTCATTATATACTAGCACTTGGCCGCCGAAAAATATGGTCAGCTGGGCACTCTTTGGCTCCACCGTTGCTGGTTTCCTAAACCAAGGAAAACAATATTTTCAGTTCATAGATAACTTTTAACATTTTTTTGTCAATAATAGTGAGTATTTCAGTAGTTTCTCATGACCATTTTTTGTTTTAACTTTTAAGCAGGAAGGCATTAAACTTGTGGTAACAATTCCTCAGCTAGATTGTACTCGCAGTCACCGTAACTCTTAAGCACCTAATGCTTCCAATTTAAGTAAATACAATAAAACATCAAACTGTTTAGAAGCATTCCAGGTTGGGGTTTCTAAAAGATCAGAATGAGGAGCATCTAAATATTTTGTGATGATCAAGGGGAAAAAAGAATACACACCTGAAATCAGTCTTGTTAGAGGAATCTTCCTTGGAGCTGGAGGCACCAAAATTGGCAGCCTCCGGAAAGAAATCAGAAGGTTTCACATTTGATGCAGATGCCACAAGATTTGGTCTTGAACTCTCGGAAGAGTTATCCATATTGGGGAAAAAGTTCATTGGCGTTGCTTGCTGCCTAAATGTCTCAAGCCCTGCAATAGCACCAAACAATGAATATAAATAATCCCTCTTTCCAAATCCAAAAACTTTTCTCTCCAACAGCATCCGCAGGAAAAAGAAAAATCTTTGATATATCAACCAATCATAAATTCTCGTCATTCAACAGCCCCATAGAAACCGAAACAGAAGCTCAGAATTTTACTGCAACCCTTTCTTCAGCAACTAATAGAAGCCAACAAAGAAAGCAAAAGGGTACCTTTAGCTTCGGGTTTTGAGGTCATCCCAGCGCTGATATCTCCAATATTTCGTTTTTCTTTCAAGTACTGGCTAAGAAGATTGACGAAACTTGCTCTCTCAGTAGCCTTACCGGACTTTTGGCCTGAATTGGACATTGCTTCCTTCTTTTTTTCTTCTTAAAAACTCTCAAGATTCTTACAAAAGCCGAATGAAATGACTGTCAAAGATAAAATCTAGTGAAACATCAAGTTTCAGGGGCTTATCTAAGTTTTTTGCCACTTTGAGAGATCACTGCTGAAAGAGTATGACAGGATGGAATATAAGGGAGAAGCAGGCTTCCCCAAATCTCACCATGTTCTCTGAACCTGATTAGCTGTGAGTTGTCTTGGTTTCCTTATCTTGGGAATTGTTAAAAACTTTATTTATTTTTTTATTATTTTAGTTAACGCACGTTTTTTTTGCATTAGGGAAAAAGTTAAGGAAGAGAAAATGCTAGTTGGAGACACAATTGTGGAAGGGGATGTGGCTTCCTTGCAATTGCCTACCTCATCTTTTTCAATGTTTTTTCCTTCCACGGTTACCCTTTTCCTTTGGACCAAGTTTTTTTTGGAACAATTTCTAAAATTAGTGGCTAAGGGAGAAAAACAGCAATTTCAGTGGTCCAACTCCAAGTCCACACTTTTGGCTTCACATTTTTCATGCTACAAGCAAGATCATTGAATTTGGGTCTTAATATGTGCATTAGTAATGATTATCTTAATGCAATCTCTTTCAGATAACTTGTCATCTTGCAGGGTTTTGCAACTATGCATTAAATTTTAGTTGAACATGATGAGGTTTTATATGTTAGGTCGAACAAAGTCTTGTGTGTTTAATGGCATGTATTCACAAATTTAGTTAAATTTAGTTTTTTCTCATATGAGTTAACATGAATAAGAAAATGAGTAATATTATAATAATTTTAAAAAAATAATAAAAATTTACAGAGAAAATAATATGTAAATCATGCAATAATTCAATTACGTAATTAGAACTCATTTTCTTTTAAGTGAATGTAACATGTTTATGAATAAAGTTAGAATTATGATCCATTTCTCGAATTCACACTCAACAAGGAATAATGTGCTCTCCTAACATTCTTCCTTCTTGCTACAAAAAATTAACAACACTCACTTTTGTTCAATAAATAAATTATTTTGTATTTTACATATCCACAAAATGCATATGTATTCAAAGAGTTAAATTTAAATTATTATTTTTTAAATTAAAATAATATTATATGTTTAAATTAAAAAAATTAAAAGCATTTTTTAATAAATATATGTGGAATGAATACTAGTCAAAGGGTACTTTGGTAATTACAGGCTATTTAAGGGACCGTTGGTATCGTGAGACTGTGGTGACTTTTCAAGACTCAGACGGAGTTAGGCGGTTTTCCTCAGTTAGGTGGATTTATATGCCGACAGACCTGCAGAGGCACACAGCCACTTAGGCCCCACGCGCGTCAAGTTTGTATCTTTTTTCTATTTTTTTCATAAAAGCGAAAAACGGTTCCTTCACGTTTCTTCGATATTCTCTCCCTTGACTTGTATAGAGTGGAATACAGCACGTGTTAAACAATTCTCCTCGGTCGAACCGTGGAAGCACAAATTAAGGCAATTCTGTCATTTTACATATAACACGTGGCAGGATCGTACGCCTATATTTTTTTTGTTGATTCCCCCACTCAAGTTGTAGGCCTTTGCATACCATTCACGTGTTGTACCTTTTGACCTTTCCCCTTTTTTTTTTTCCCAATCAAATGCCTCTTTGCTGTTTCTGTAAACAGGAATAAGATACTATTATTATATATCTGCATTTGTTCTACTCTTCTGTATAAAAGGTTTTTTTATAGGCAAAGTAAGTATGATTGTATTCATAAGTTGAAAAAGGGTATAAGTTTGTGTACAAAATCAAACACCGCAACATGATAACATTCAAAAACACAAGGGCTGCGGCAATCAACCACTTGAAGATGAAATAACAAACGTTGATCAAACAAAAGTAAGCAACATAAACCCTATACAAAGCTAATAAGTCAGCTCATCTTGTTTACATGATGCTCACCTAAGGTCAACAAAACAAAAGGGTTCAAAAGAAGGGATATGTTCCAATATCACATCAGATCTTCAAAGCAATCTGCAGACTACACCTGGGGCTCCCATTAGTGAGCATCGGCGTTTCATTACCATTTGCTGCATCAAAGTTGTTGATTTACTTTGTTTCTTGTGTTTAGAGGTATTAATTCTCGAGTTTTAATAAGTTATAATAAGATAATATCAGATAACAAAAAAGATATAAAAATAAAGATAGGTATATATTACTATATATAATTTTTCCATGATTTTGTATTTAAGTTACATATTTTACATATCTTTAATCTACTTATTGGGTTTTATAAATTTATTCATTTTTATTTTGGGTGAAAATTTTACAAAGTTCATCTAATTCTTGATAAATAAAATCAAAGGCCAAATATAATCTAAATGGATTCACGCTAAGTCTATTAGTTATAGTTACATCATTTTTCTTCCTAAAATATTTTCACATTAAATAATATATATAGTTAACGTAATAATACATTTTTGATTACATATTAAGATTCATTAAGTTTTGAATTACATAACGTGAAGTGATTTTCTCTCATTCCATAATTTAGGCTACCTTTGAAGAGTTGTTAACCCCCAGAGCTTCATTTATAAAAATTCAAAGTTCGAGGTTATAATATTTCGTTCAAATGTAACGCCATGCTTCGGAATCAAACCCTAACCCACCTAATTCGGTCGGTCTTCCCATAAATGTATGGCAGGTGCCTTTTGTCCCCAACATTTCTTTTGGTGGATATGCCACCAGTCCAATTGTTGTATAATAAGAGTAAAATTTAAGACGGGAGTATTAAAGCATTATCACGTGCCAATTCTTCAATTTGGACCAAACGACCAAATTTATTTCTTCAGGATCCTTGTTCCCTCTTTGCATTTCGCCAGTCCAATCTACCTAACAAAAAATATATACAAAGAGAGAGGGGGAAAAGTCTCCAATTACCATTCAAAATAGGAAGGATTCCATGTCAAATGTGGACAACAATAAATGGCAATGATGACCTGAGGATTCAAATGTGAATTTGAGTGGTGAAAAGTGTTAACTTACTATATTTGATGTTAGCATTACATGTATGGAAACGAAAAGTGAAATAATCAATTTCCCCTTTCGTTTGAAGGAACAATATGAGATTTTATGTTATTTTTCTATTATGAGTTTGCATTAAAACTTCATGGTTTTGTGGATTTCTTTGAACTTAGTGGGTCGGTTTGAGCTTATTGATTACTTTTATAAATAGGTTGATGATATTATTTTAAGTGCATTTAATATAATGAGATAAGCATGCATAAAAGCATAATGAAAATCAAGACCGGTTTTAGGGTAAAGTCACTAAAACAAGGGTTTTAGGTCTAAATTTTTATAAATCACATAATTTTATGATAATAATAATAATATAATTTATTATATTAAAAACATATAAAAATTAAAATAATAAATAAAATATCTACGTATTCTCCCATGATTAATAAATACCTATTTTATCTCACTTTCTCATCCTATTAATTTTTAATTATTTATATCAATTTTTATTAAAATTATATAAAAGTCAAAATAATTAATAAAATGATATATTCTCTAACTTCTCTAATTATGTGCCTAATAAATCTCATTTTTAATCATTTCTCATTCCCACAATACTATTAATTTTCAACTATTTCTCCTATTTCCTCATTCGCTCTTTCTTCTTTTAACTTTAATTAAAAAATGGCCTCATTTTCTTAATTTCAATAAAAAATGCCTCATTTGAATATTTAACTTTAGACCTTTGAAGTTATTGACTTACTGTTGATGAAAATTTACAATAAAATAAGATAAAAAAAGTATATAGATTAACAAAGTTGGGTTATAACTAACATGTTATTTGTGACTTATTTTGGTATATAACAAAAATTAAAAAAACTATTGCTATTTGAAATTTTGACTGCATTTATACTTTTTTGTTGTGAAATATAATTTTGAAAGAAAATATTAAAAAGAAATAGTAAGAATGTAAAAAGATATTTTATTTCATTTCTTATTTTAATATATCACCATCAATTATAATGCCTCTATTTATAGGCACACATAGGTGGAGGGGGAATGAATTTATATAAATAAAGAGACCCATTTGTATCCAACGGGCTTTACATTGTTGGAGCTTCCAACTATGGGTTGGAAAACCTTTCATCTAGTTAGGGAAGCTAATTCAACCTGGATTGTTTCCTTCCAATTAGGCCAATCATGCCTTTGACGACATTCGATAATAAATTACAATTCATAATCATTGTTTATAATCTTATAAGCAACTGATAATGCAAAAGCATTATCAATGATTATTTATTTCAATCCTAAATCTCATTACAATATGTAATGGAAATCTCAATATTCCCAAAGTCAGTGGTCTTTTCACGGATTTGTGCCTTTTCAGAGGCAATAAGCTTTTTTGGAGCAAACTCAACACTAGGCTCTTTTGGAGTGGTTTCTTGATTCCTCCCCTTTTGTTTTCGAGGGGCAGTGTCTTCTGATCATATCGGTCTTCCACGCTTCAAGTGTGAGCCATTTTGATCCATTTCAACTTGTTTTTCAAGAACAGCAATCCTAACTGGAATATTCACAACTAGAATATAAGACTTTGTAATCTTGGCAACATCATTAAATGTGTCAAGAAGTTTATTGGCAATTGCTTGTAAATGAATTATATGCTACACCTCATTTTCATATTTAGGAGTTCTTGGGTTTAAATAGGATAGATTTTTCTCATTCTAAGAGAAAATCTAAATTGGTTTATGCTTCTTAGTTATGGAAGCCTTAGGTATCCCAATCGGTGGAAACACCGTTTCATCAAAATGACAATCCGTGAATCTGGTGGTAAAAAGATCACCCGTCGTTGGTTTCAAGAACCTAATAATGGATGGTGAATTAAACCCAATGTAAATACCCAAATGGAGTTGAGGACACATTTTAGTCTTTTTTGTTAGTGCTACAAGCACCTGCACAACACAACCAAAGGTGCATAAATGTGAAATGTCTAGTTGATAACCTAGAACAAACTTTATGAGAGATTGTAAGAAACTAGCAGTGGGGCACAATTTAATTAGTGTCGTCGCATGCAAAATAATATGACACCATGTTGAATAGTTGAGCTTTATTCTTAACAATAGACTACAAGCTATAATTTGGATGCAATTAATTAAGGATTCTACCAATTCATTTTAAGTATGAACATGTGGAACCAAGTGCTCAACCTCGATTCCTAGTGAAGCACAATACGCATTAAAACTTTTTG